CAGCACCACTTTATCCACCACAAATCTTACTTGACCAGACCCGGGATCGAACCCGGGCCGCCACGGTGGGAAGCCAGCGACTAACCGCTTGAGCTATTGCTCGGCCTTTTATAAAGATTGGTTCAGGTACTCAAATTAAATAAGGATGAGATTCACAGACATACTGAAACACAGACAGCAAGAATATCACATAGGCCTACTTTCATTTTTCAAAATGAAGAATGTAGGCTAAGAATGCTACTACTGCATCACATTTCTCCACTGTGCTGTTGGCCCGCAGGAGGCAAGACAGTTTCACACAAATGTGGAGAGCATGCCTGTTTCCCCTTTCGACATTCAAGGTGCTGTGCGTTATGAATTTATTCCACAAGGACAAATTGTAAACAAACATCATTACGTTGACACCTCGCGGCCTATGCGGGAAAATGTGCGGAGAAATAGACCCGAAAATTGGAATTCATGGGACTTGTTCCTCCGCTAGCACAACGTATCTGCTGACTCTGATTTTTCTAAGCGTGAATTTATGGCTAGGGGCAAAACGATTATCGTTCCATACCCTACATTCTCACCAGATTTATCGCCATGTCTTCTTTCATCTCCCAGAACTCAATATGGCGTTAAAGTGAGTGTGATTCAATAATGTCAAGATGGTTCAAACAAAATCGCGTGAAGCACTCGTCGAAATTCACAGAATTGTCTTCAAATAGCGGTGCGATATCTGGGTTTGATGCGTATACCACAAGAAGACTGTCATGGAAGGGACAACATGGGTTAGAAGGTAAGTTTTGTTATTACGGAGAAATAAATTCAGTCCGGAACAAAATTATTGCAATTTGTATGACCTGCTTTCAATCGTTAACATTTCTGCTGCAAAAATACATAAAAATTTTGCCTCTGGATTTCATTACGAATCAAGAGACAAACATCATAAAAACTTCTGAGCACTTCTATTTGTAGGTCCCGTGTCTTTAGAAAACAGCTTAACCGTAACATATTCCAAGGAAATTCTTTCCACGGCATTTAGTGCTTTTCCTCAAAGATATATACCTACACAGCCAGAACTTCAAAGAGGAGATGTAACTCGTGTTTTCCAGTGCCATACACTTTCAGAAATGTCTTTTAAATTGTATCTCTACAAATGTAAATCAAAGTAAAAAGGGAAGATGAAAAGCACATCCCGTTTAGAAGCTCCTCCATTCCGACCCAAGATCTGCTATCTATGGCTCTACAGCTCTCATGGATCTTGGCCACTTTTTCAGTTTCTTAACCTATACACAGTCGGTAGGACTTCTTGGGCGGGACATCAGCCCGTCACAAGGCCGCTACCTACACACAGATAACATAAACACACAATAAACGCACACAGACATCCATGCTTTGAGCGGGATTCGAACCCACGGCTTCAGTGTTCGAGCGGGCGAAGGGAGTTCATGTTTTTGACAGCCCGGCCAGATGATACACGTACATGATCAAAAATAAACTATTTCTTACGCCGGGAATTATCTAATTTACACTAAATATGACTAACCTTCCAGTATATTTGGAAACACATGAAAGTACGAAGCCAGCCTGCAACCTGATGGTAAAGGTAAGAAAAAGTTAATTCTGTTAAATGATACTACTAACTGTTAAGAGCATATTTAATATAAGTAGGGGTTTCATATTGTTCAGACCTCCAGTGGTGACTGTGTCACTTGTTTATTGCTATCATGTCCTTCATGTATTTTCTCTCATGTCTGTTCACATACCCTGTTCTCCCAGTGTTCGTCTGTAATTGGCCCTTCAGCTGTTTCCAAGCACTTCAATAAATCAACTGAATTACTACTACTACTACTACTACTACCACTCCTCTTCCTACTACTACTACTACTACTACTACTGTTACCACTCCTCTTCCTACTGCTACTACTACTAGTAGTACTGTTGCCACTCCTCTTCCCACTACTACTACTACTGTTATCACTCCTCTTCCTTCTACTACTACTACTACTGTTACCACTCCTCTTCCTACTGCTACTACTACTAGTAGTACTGTTGCCACTCCTCTTCCCACTACTACTACTACTACTACTGTTATCACTCCTCTTCCTTCTACTACTACTACTACTACTACCACTACTACTACTACTACTACTGTTACCACTCCTCCTCTTCCTACTGCTACTACTAGTAGTAGTAGGAAGAGGAGGAGTGGTAACAGTACTACTACTAGTAGTAGTAGCAGTAGGAAGAGGAGGAGTGGCAACAGTACTACTACTACTAGTAGCAGTACTACTACTAGTAGTAGTAGTAGTAGGAAGAGGAGTGGCAACAGTACTACTACTAGTAGTAGCAGCAGTAGGAAGAGGAGGAGTGGTAACAGTAGTAGTAGTAGGAAGAGGAGTGATAACAGTAGTAGTAGTAGTATGAAGAGGAGTGGCAACAGTACTACTATTACTACTAGTAGTAGTAGTAGCAGTAGGAAGAGGAGGAGTGGTAACAGTAGTAGTAGTAGGAAGAGGAATGGTAACAGTAGTAAAGATAAAGGAAGTAGAAAATAATTAATAATAACAACAGCTCACTTATATTATATTTACATTTAAAGGAGGTGCCCCTGTAACAGGCCGTGAAGGCCCATAGGGCTGTGAGACGTCGAGGTTCCCACATTTTCTAGACAATCGGCTTACAGATGGCGGTGAGGTTATTAGCCTTACGCGCCGGCGGCCCTTTGCCCCCAGGAACATTCATTGTACTCATTTCTGTTAGAGGCTGAGTCGATCCCAAGGGCCATAGTGCGGCTGGGAGGGTTAAAGCAACTGAAAAATGCAATGACTTCATCGGGAATCGAACCCGCGACCTTGCAGTTTGTAACATAGTGCCTCAACTAACTACTCTACCGTATGCCCCATACTGTACACACTGTACGTAACATCATTTGGATCACAAACACACGGTGTAGGCTGTATGTGACGCAATATTTTCACGCAAAAATGAATAATTGTATTAAAGAGAGGAAAATTGTGGGGTCATTAGGAATTTCTTGCAAATATTTTTATATCCCTTGTTCAAATGGCGGTGAAGAATGAGTCACCGCGATTCTCTGGTCTGCTCCGAACTGTAGATGGTCTTCTGTTCTTAAGTAGATGATAGCTGAATACATTATAGGAATGTAATGAGTTCTCAGCACAGCATCATCTCAACCCACTGAGTAATACTAGCACAAAATAAAACTTTATTATAATAAAATAACTCTTAAATATCAATACATTTCTCTATAATTTTAAGCTCCATTTTATTTTATTGGAGAAAACACACTTAGCGACTTGCATCCAGAACAGAATAGAGCAAGTGACACATCAGGGAGTAATAAAAGTTTCCTTTTATAAATCCGTTTTCTTACTACAAACATAGGATTGGCTATAAAAGGTATAAGAAACAATTCTTGTGTCAAAAACTAATCTCCACAAATATATTTGTTTCTTTTAAATCTAATAATTATGAAGTAAATAAAAATTCAGTTTATGTTATGAAAGCATCATAATGACTGATGAAACTATTGAAGTCCTTGAGGCACAACAAGTATCCTGATAACTAAATCCTGTCCATCACAAAAGTACACCTTCAAATCCTCAAGTCCTTTTGTTTAAGAATTTCAAAGCTTTTATCTACATTTCATTTGTGATCTGGAACAAACAGAGGCAGGTTAACGATGTCATGTACACAGTCCAGTTTCTAATTACACACAGGACAACACAAGGTTCTTGTAGGACACAAAGACTCGTCCTTGTCAAAGAGACAAACAAAATTGTTCTATTGTAAGGATGAGAGATTTCAGAGAAGCTAGACGTACTGAGTTACTGTACACGACGTTTCCGCAAACACAGAGGACACACACACAATATAAATGTAAGTCATAGTACTGGGCAGACTGTTGTTGGCGATGCTAAAGACAAACACCAGTTAACTGGAAACAGAATTCTCTGCCAGTGAGTCCTAGTATTAACAGACCTGACCAATCTCAACAAATCCATGCGATGTAAGTATTTGTGAACGTCAGCCTCGCTATGGCCCTGGGTTCGACTCAGCCTCTAACAGAAATGAGTACCAGGATTCTCCCTGGGGTGTAAAGGGCGGCCGGCGCGTAAGGCTGATAGCCTCACCGCCCTCTGTGAGCCGAAAGTTTAGAAAATGTGGAAGCCTTGACGCCTCACAACCCTATGGGCCTCCACGGCCTGTTACAAGGATAGCTTTACCTTCTGAGATAGAAGTTACTTGAATTAACTAAGAGCTAGTTCTATACATTGCCTCATTGATTTTATGGACAGCAATTCTTCTTGAAAAGCGAATACTCGTACTCGTCTGGCTAATTAAGAAGTCCTTTGTATAATGTAAAATTTCATTTCTGCTTTCAAATGAGTTCATCTTTGGCCCCACCGTCAGCCAGATGAAAACGGTGAAGGTCACTACAGACTATTCCTCTAAGATCAATTTGAAAACACCTCCACCCCCCNCTCTATGCTCAGTCCTTTCAAACTGTCTCTTTTAATCGTATTTTAATGGTAAAACGAACGTTACATGTTCTGCCCATATCATACACCTCCATTACGTTGTCGTTACAGCACACGGCGAAAAACAGAAATTGTGAAGCTCGTCACAAAGCAATCTTCTCTCCTTCAGTCATATTTCCTCTTCTAGGTCCAAAATTCTACTTCCGAATTGTTCGTACATTCCTCTGAAACGTCGTTAAATTACCAGACTATACGGCTCACTTTCCGAAATGTAAAAATCTCCGATTGTTAAGCAGTATAGGCTGCAGGCGCATAGAGGGCAGGTCTTTCGTGTAGAGAACATAAAGTAACGACCTTCATATCGATTACTTCTATATGGAGTTTTAGATCGATTTTCAGCGCTTGCTCCATACTGAATATGAGAGACAGTAGCGAGTTCATATGTAGCATTTAATATGTCTCGTAGACGTTTTGATTACGGCAGTAACCTTTGATGTTCTGATCGGTGTCCAGGTACAACGCCATCATGCATCCGCTCGAACGTAGGTTCACAAAGCTGCGCACGAAGCTGATATTGGTTGGCATCTGGGTGGCTGCCGTCGCAGTCTCTGGCGTCCAGCTGCACATAGCTCGCTCCGAGCGCTTCAAGTACGCAGGAGAGTAAGTAGAGGTTCCTCACCTCCGCGGCCCCGTGCATACAGGTTTTGTGGTTCACTCTCTCGCATGTCATCCAGGGCGGGTACAATTGACTACAAAAGGACTTAGTCTCACCTCACCCCAAGAATAAATTAAATAAACATTAGTATAACCATGAGGTCCTTTCGGATCTCTAGCGAGATATGGAGATCTCATTTATTAAGGTTTACGTAATTTCCTGCCGTCATTAACCCACGTTATACTCTGTTCAAGATGGCTGCATCCATTGTACGTAGCTCCTCTGTAACCTGTCGAGACGTGGCCAAGGGTGTGAATTCTAGGGAGACGTGTGGAAAACAGGATATGCATACAGCCATAATATAAAATTGTGTGAGACCGGATGCCTGACATTAAGGGAAGAACATAAACTGGGGATGTCCGACAAGAGGGTGTTGAGGAGAACATTTGGACAGCAACAGGATCAAGTAAGAGGAGGCTGGAAAAAATTACAGAATGGAAACTTTCATAATTTTTACTCATCGAAAAATATAATTAGAATGATCAAATTAAGGAGGATGAGCTAGGCCGGGTATGCAGCACGCATTAGATAAAAACCAAATGCATAACAACTCTTGTAGGAGTATCTGAAGGAAGGCTACTACTAGGAAGATCTAAGAGTCGATGGGAACTTAATGTTGAAATGAATTTTAAAGAAATGAGATTGGATCTTGTGGAGTGGATTCATGTGGCTCAGAAAAGACACCAGCGGATGCCTTTTGTCAGCACAGTAATGAACTTTCGGGTTACATAAAGTTTTGGGAATGCCTTGAAGAGCTGAGCAACTTTTAGCTTCTCAAGAAGGATTCAGCTAAATGCGTTAAGGCTGTAAGTTGGTGTGGAATTTGAGGCACAGAGAACAAGAAGAGTAACAATAAAAACCAGGCGAAAGCGAGAGTCATGGGGGGAGGAGAGAGAACATTTACTTTCAGGAGCAAGGGAGTAGGAGAAAGCAAAATTTTGTTACAAGGTTTCCAGGCTTCGCCCGTTCGTTCCTTTGATGAAGGTAATATGAAGGTCGCTGTGTTCGGATGGGTAGAATTAGTGGCTTCGATATGGGGTCGCAGCATTTTCTTTGAGACTCATTAAAGTTGAACATTTGCTACGAAGACCACCAACAAATTGTCTCTCCAAATTATCCAATTCGTCATTAATCACAAAACAATAATTCTGCGGCCCTTATCGCAAGCAATTTATTCTAAAATTCCAGCATCTTCAGATTCGTACTACCCTTATCAGAAGGATGAGTTCGGGAAGCCTGAGAATCATTGAACAAAGTCATGTTATTTATCCCCCCCCCCCCACACAAAAANTCATTTGTCTCATAACTTTTTTATTTTAAACTACACTTCCACTATGAAGAAAACAGTCCTCTGGGATGTGGCGCCGTGTAGATATTGTGTTAACCGACGTTTCGGAGGAGCGTATCGCCTCCATCTTCAGGCTAGAAGAAAAATTAAAATACACGAGCGAGGAACCAGCGCGAGTAGGTGCTGACAGAGTAATTTGTCTGGTTCCTCGCTCGGGGATTTTCTTTTTTCTTCTACCCTGAAGATGGAGGCGATACGTTCCCCCGAGACGTCGGTTAACGCAGTAACTACACGGCGCCACATCCCACAAGACAGCTTTCTTCATAGTCACCGCCGTGAAAACCTCAAATCTTACTTACTCTTCCACTGTTTTTTCTTATCTCGGTTCTCTCTCTCTTCGTAGCACGGCTGATATTTTCATTGTTCTCGGTACGTTACGAGTAACAGTACATGTAAATACAAATTGTAAGGTAAAAAGGTAAGGTAAATCTATTCCTGTAGCAGGTCGTGAAGGTCCATAGGGTTGTGAGACGTCGAGGCTCCCACATTTTCTGTAGACAATCGGCTCACAGATGGCGGTACGGTTGTCAGCCTTACGCGCCGGCCGCCTTTTACCACCCAGGAAGATTCCTGGTACTCTTTTTTTTTTCATTTCATGCATCCGGTTGTGTTACAATATACAACTTCTTTATTAAACCCGTCACAACACAATTATATCAAGGTCAGTACCTAGTTTTGTCTCTACAACATGTTTCGGCTATTAACAGCCATCATCAGGCAAATACATGGCTAATATATATACACCACTGAACTGCAGTACTAGTAAAATTGGATACAATAATATTAATTATATAAAATACTTGACGTAAAAATGCAATAAATTAGATTATATAAAACAAAAAGTTATAGTATAAAGAAGAACAAAATTCTTTGATTGATGCTTTACATCATCGAGTCAGTCGTTGGTTTTTTAATTTTGTTGCGTTCCCACAGACAAATTGGAGTATTCTATACTTTGTGTGTATATAAAATAACGTTATTAGAGGCTCGTGATGTAGATGTAGAAATATTAATGTTAAGTACTTAGTCGGTGCCTCGTCTTACAAAGTATTGTCCGTTCTGTAGGGAATGTTGTGACGGTTTTAATAAACAAGTTGTATTCTTGGTACACATTTCTGTTAGAGGCTGAGTCGAGTCCAGGGCCATAGGGTGGATAGAAGTATTAGGTAAACTGAAAAAAAAACTTCATCGGGACTCGAACCCGTGACCTTCTGCCTTGTAGCATAGTATATCAACTAACTACTCTACCGCGTGCCCCCCCCCACATATAAATTGTTGTAATGTAAAATGGGACTTAGAGAAGGTGAAGAGGATTGGTGATAGAATGGAGAAGGGAAAAGGTCAGGAGAAAAGTGGGAAAGAAATTCATGAGGAGTAGGGATCGCTGGGGGAATGCATATTAGCAGGGCGAAAACCGAAGTAATTTGGAGGAAACACTAATTTATTGCCCCTTCGCCCACCACAAATCTTACATAAGGGCACGTGGGATTTAAATTGGGCCTCCTTTGTGAGAAACCAATCACTAACGGTCCAAAACTGCGGCATGGTCATAAATAAAACAACAGCTCTACTGAATTTTAAGCCAAAATCCGAACACGTGCAAGAAGAACCAGTTTAAGTCTGAGAAGACAAATCATGATAATTGTTATGAAAATGACATTTAAATGAATAAACAAATGTATATGTTGCTCTTTCAATTAGCGAAAATTATTTATATCAATGCGAGGAAAACACCGAACGCTTTTGGTCTAGCGACAGTGCTCTTCCCTTGTGTTCGAGAAGTATCTTGCTCAAATCTCGGCAGGTTTCCCGTGGTTTTCTTCAATTCCTCCATGCAAATGTTCCAGTTGTATCTGAGTTAAGATCACAACCCGTTATCGAATGCTTACCTACTCATCATTCATCAGTCACCTTACCACACGACCCTGTTATTTCTGAGATACTGGAAACTTAATATTTTTTATTTTCACATATATTATATATAATCTGCAGTGTCTGAAATAAATGTATATATGTGCACTACGAATAGACGCGAGAGACGGTTATTTTCAGTGGCGTAACTCTTGTAATCATATGCTATTTATGATTTGAGGCTTTCACGGCGGTGACTATGAAGAAAGCAGTCTTCTGGGATTTCGCACCGTGTATATNCTATTTACTTATTAATTATATCGTAAAATCAACAATAAAGAAAAAAACATTTCCAGGGCCGGCTTTCGAAGAAAATCAAGTGGAAGCCCCTCATTAGTTTTACATTTTCACGTTCTCAATATATAAGCATCTCCATAATGTGACGCATTACCTTACGTCCATCACCGCGACAAACGCTACAATCGGAACGGACACTTCCACGGCAACGAATACGTGGAAATTGTGGAGTTCGCGCAGTGACAAATCGTAACAACGAATTGTCCTTCAGAAACAACGGATGACAATATACGTTCCTTATTTTATGAATTTATCTCCTTGGTTGCATTCTGTTCGCTCAGAATAACGAGATATAAGAGCGTCGCAGAAACGAGACGCGCTGCGTTGTTTCTCATAGACTCGCGTACTGCAATACCAAAACCAAAAGCAAGTGCGAGTAGAAACATCATCCACAGTGCACAGGGTTCGACGTGAAAAGGTGCATAACAAACTGAACACTTTCAATACGTTGCAACATGCTCTTGGTTTCCGCTGCGTTTAGTTCTAGAATAACCTTCCTACTAGCGTCAACTAGATTTTCTATGTTTTCCTCTACGATATCTATGTTATCATACAGCAGATCTACATCATCAGCTCAGACCAACAGCTGATGTATCCCATTTAATTCCAGTCCCACCTGATTTTCCTGGAATATTCTAAAGTAAAGTTGAAAAGCAGTGGCAATAAAGCATCTCCTCGTTTTACACCATTTTGGATGGGAAAATTATCAGACAAATGTTTATCTATACGGACTTCACTATACGTTTCATTTATACACATTTTAATCAGCCTAACTAGTTTCATGTGTACACCAAACTCTATGAGAATATTGGACAATGCTTCCCTCATAACTTAAACATAGCGTTCTTCAAATCTATTATTAACTGATAAACTGTCTCATTTTACTGCCATTTTCTCCAATATCTGACGAATGCAAAAATCTGATCAGTAGTTGATCTGTTACATCGAAACTCACACTGATGATCCCCAATAAATTAATCTATGTATGGACTTAACTTTAGACAGGGACATTGAATAAGATTTTGAATGAAGTTGATAGCAGTGATATCCCACGATAATTATTACAGTCAGTTTCATTGCCCTTCTTGTGAATTGGCAAAATAATGGACTCCTTCCAATGATCAGGCAATTCTTCCTTATTCCAAATAGAATTAATAAGTTTATGGATATTAGACTGTAATATTTCGCCTCCTGCTTGAATCAACATACAAGAGTACTTTAATCAGTTCTAATAATTTTAACTGCTATTCATACTGCTACACCAATACAATCACTACAGCACCTGTTCTACTTATATTACATTTATCTACTCGCAGTCCATTCCGTAATGTATGTTTATATATTTTGCAATCTCAGGTGACTTTCATCATCATCAGTAATCTGTCAGGCGACAGGTCCACAGTCTCTTCCAAAACGATTCCTCCACTTGGTGCAATCTAGAGCTTTCTCCTTCAAATGACAGTATCCTCTTCTGTCCCCAAGGTCATCCAGCATATTCTTACGTCTTCTTCCTCGTCTTCTTGTCACTTATATCCGCCCCTCTATCTTTCCTTCAATAACTTCTTTTAGAAGGCAGTTTCTGCGTAAAACATGACCAATCCAATTAGCCTTCCGTTTTCGTATTTCATGTAGGATATTCCTCTGCTCACTGACTCTAATTAACACTTCTTCATTTCTCACATAATCGGTCCAATTTATCTTCTCCATCCTTCTCCAACACAACATTTCCAAACTTTCCAGATGTTTCTGATCTACTGCCCTAAGTGTCCATGTTTCAGCCCCATACAGAGCTATGCTCCAAATGTAGCATTTCACTAGTTTCTTCCTCAAATTTAAGTCCAATTTGCTGGTAAAAAGATTCTTCTTCTTGCTAAATGCAGCTTTTGCCATGGCAATCCTGGATTTAATTTCACAAGTACACCTTCCATCATCTGTTAACAAGCTACCCAAATATTTAAAACATTTCACATTCTCCAGTTGTTTTTGGTCTATCTTTATTGTGACTGGGGTTGGTTGTCTCGAAAAGGTTGTTACTTTTGTTTTCTCCACATTCATTTCCATGCCATAGCACCTTCCAATTTCAATTAGTCTATCAATCATGCCCTGTAGCACAGTTTCTTCCTTAGCCATTAACACAAGGTCATCTGCATATTTCACAGTTTGAATAATTTGCCCTCCTACTTTGAAGTCACCGAGCCCATCCAGAGCTTCCTTGGTAAGGCATTCGCTGTACAAGTTGAACAGAATTGGTGATAAACAGCATCCTTGTCGAACTCCTCTTCCAATCTGCACACTTTTTGTCTCCCCACTGTCCAATCGTACTCCAACTTTCTGATCCATGTACAATTTGCTGATCGATCTTCTTTCACGCCAATCGATACCTGTTTCCTTTAGGATCTGCATTAATTTGGTCCAGTTTACCCGGTCAAATGCCTTCTGCCAGTCTATGAAGCAAACACACAGTTCTTCATCTATCTCCAAAGTTCGTTCCGCTATAATTCTCATCATCCCAATTGCATCCCTGGTTCCTTTTCCTCTTCTAAATCCAAACTGATCTTCTCCAAGTACATCCTCTATTTTCCTTTCAATTCTTCTTTTAAGTATCTTTGCTATTATTTTTGCTGTATGTGCAATAAGACTTATTGTGCGATGGTCGCTGCATTTTGTAGCTTTTGTCTTTTTCTTTAAGGCAATCATTGTAACTTCTGTAAAGTCCTTGGGCCACTCTCCACTTTCATATATGGTGTTCATTAGTTTTGTCAGTGTTTTCAAACCACCTTCTCCCAGTAACTTGAGCACATCTCCAGGTACATCAACATCTCCTGTAGCCTTTCCCTTCCTCACTTCCATGATAGCTTTTTCCACCTCACTTTGTAAAATATATGGTCCTTTCTCGTCTGTATCTACTTCTTCTTCCGGTTCAACTTCCAAGTTTTCTGGCCGATTAGGTTGATCATATAATTCGGTAATATAATTTTCCAAAATTTTCAGCACTTGCCTCTGATCTATTATTCTATTCCCCTGGGAGTCTTCGATGCCAATCAGGTGACTTTATGCCCCTCTAAATCTCTTCTCAGGTTTTCATCTAGTTTTGAGTAAACAATTTTCAATGCTTTATTATTTTAAATTTATTATATTCGTACAGTTTATAATTTTCGTACACGATATGTCCTCATTTATGTTTAACCATTTTTTCCTTGGCACTACAGCCCCAGTTGGCATAGGCCTACCTCCATGAACTTCTCCGTTCACTTCGGTTTTTCTTGATCTTACACATACGGTAGGACCCCTTGGGCGGGTGATCAGCTCGTCGCAAGGCCGCTACCTGTACATAGACACAGAAAACTGGACACACACAAACTAAACATCCATGCCCTGAGTGGGATTCGAACCCACGATCCCGGCTTCCAAGCGAGCGAAGACAGTACATGCCTTAGACCGCTCGGCTACCGTGACCGGCTGTTTAACCATTTACTGCATACAATTTCTCCCTTCTCTTTCTCGTTTCAGAATATTTGTTCAGTATAAGTTCAGCATCCTCTCCCTGACATAAGGGGCTCCCTTCTCCCTCAAATCTCCTCTACTAAACTGCAAGCTATAAGGTCTATAAAATTAATATTTATATGGAACTGAGAACATATAATGATTTATTGTTCAGTAGATGGGTGAATAGCCAATTTTCGAGAGGTGTATATCAGATATACCCGACAAAATTGACAATTTCCGAAACAATATTAGAAACCGGGACAGCGCAGTCGGCATAGCGGCTGGCTGCGGGTTGGGTGAGCGAGAGGTCGGCTTTCAAGTCCCGATGGGATCAAGAATTTTCTCTTCTCCACAGCGTCCAGACCGGCCCTGGGGTCCACCCAACCTCCTGTCCAATGGACACCGGGGGCTCTTTCTGGGGGGCAAGGCGGTAGTGGCGTGAAGCTGACCACTCACCTCGAACTAGAGCTGAGGTCAAGAAAATGTGGACATATATATCCACTCCCCCATACGTCGTCATGGTGTAGTGCTTCACGCCTCCTGAATTATAAATGGGGCCCTGTTGCAGGTGGCACTGGGAATGTGGAGAACAGTGGAGCTCCATTGAGGACGGCCAGACCTACACGATGCTTATATTTTCCGTAACGTTCGCTGTTCCGTTGCTTAGCCTCGCCTTCACGTACACGTGCGTCGGACGGCGTCTATGGCTACGAGCGTCACCGGGCAATGCCGATCCGACGCGGGATTTGACACAGCTTCGAGCAAAAAGAAAGGTAAATTTCGATACAGAATTCAGTGTGAGTTCAACAGAGATCTAACGTTAGTACCTAGGGCGCAACACATGGTCCTTCAACGATGGCCGCTTTCTATTAGCGAATTCTAAAGTAGACACTCAATATAATGCAGTAGGATGGTGGAGTAACATTGTGCGGTCGCCTGCCTAACCTCGTGTCCCTGCTTGTCAGAATTTTGTCTTCTTCTTTGCATGCTGTTAGTTGTATTTGTTCTCTTGGGTTTCGTAAATCTTGAATAACTCAAGTAGTGCTTATCGTCAGTTCTTGAAAAATCAGTAATTTCAATGAATCCCTACAGACAGAAATCACTTCACTTCTGAGGAACGTTTGCACGCTGTACTCAAACCTTCGGAGTACGGATTCAACATTTTATTTAACAAAGAGCAGAAATATATGGAACATGTTCTTTGTAAAGTCTGAATTTTCAACGTTCAATTAATCTACTGATATAAAATTAATGTGATTCTGTTTTATTGTTTACATTTCATGCGCAATTGAAATAGTTCGAAGAATAAAAGAATATCTCTGTACTACAACTGTCTTCATAAGAACTTGTTTTTTTTTCCACATAATAAAATATAACAAAATAAATTAACAAGGAGTTCAGAAAAGAATTTTCTTTCAAATAATTCTATCTACGTATTGAAGCTAGCTGGAACTATATTCAGACAATTATACAATACAATGATTCGTTTTCCTGTTCGTTATAGCTGTTACCTCATAAAATAATTGAAGATACTCGTGCATTTAGAATCATAACAATTGAAACACAGTTATCTCGTGTAGTATTTTACACTCGATTCGATCTTGTTGCTACATTCATGGACATTTCTGTTGGCCAGAAATGTGCCAATGCCAGCGCCCTTTTCTTACTGCCACAAAAAGCTGGTGCAGAAAGAGACGTGTGTGTGTGTGTGTGTGTGTGAAGGGTTTCGCTTCATAAAATTACATTTGTTGAGAGGTGCGCAAGTTGAGCAGATAGCAGCGGGCACACCTGCACCTCAGTAGTTAGAGGTGCCAGAATAATCTTGCCAGAGAGACATAAATACAGTATGCACCAAAATTACAGTACTGAAATGAAAAGACGTCCTGTTGATACCACTCTCTATTCATGAGAAGGCCCCTTGCACGACAGAACCTTCTCAAATCCTGAAGAAAAGGTCCGATCACCATGTCCCTGTAGCGTTCTTCGGTGAGGGTAAGAGCATTGCCTTCTTCATCCTCAATGAAATGGGGGCCTAATATACCGTGTGCTGAGACGGCACACCATAGCGTCACACGTGTATTGTGTAGCGGTTTCTGGACGATAACATCTGGCAGATCAAAACCAAGGAAGTGAGTTTTCTGGCGACCACTTCCGTGTGAGCAGAAATAATACTCAACTACTCATATGAATACTTTTTCCTCCGTCGAGAGACCCATTTCCAACAACGACTGCATAACACAACTTCCTTTTCACTACTGGGAACACGTGCGGCAGGAGCTATGCCCCGTCGACAAACGCACATGCGCGTTCGAGATGCGCGAGTTTCAGTACTGATATTTTGGCGATAGTTGGACGATATGACAAGTCACGAGACAAACAAATTTAACATTTTTAATTTAAAAACTATAGCCAATAAATTAAAATGCGACTACAGCCTATACACATTACGAGTAAATATACGGATCCTCGCGCGCCGAAGCCTGTCGAGCAACTGAAGTAGTGTGGACGAAGGTTTACGAGCACAAGTAAAAGCCAGACGAGTCTCCCGACGAGCACAAGCCTGGCGAGCACCAGCACGAGCACGAGTAATATGGACGCGCCTTTATTGCGAGCGGATGAAATTGATCATGATTACAAGGATTGCAAAAGAAGGTGTCAATAAATCCAATCATCCAAACCAGGACCCGTTATTATTAGTCACGGAACCCCGGATATATGAGAGTATTGTTTCTAAGGCAACAAATGCTTAGCGACGGTGAGAGTCTTGATATTATATCCCGAATACACAGATGAAGGCCTGCCAAGTATTACACAGTACCTTGGGCGACAGGGATGATAATAATAAATAATAATAATATTAAAATAGAAGTTCTGGGAATAACTAATCGCATGCTTTTCTTTGGTGAGACACGGATCGCATAGAAAACGAGAAAATACGGAGTACATAAACACAGACAGACAACAAAGTGATCTTATAAGCTTTCATGATACAACATGGACCGCGCAGAAAATGAAGACATTGGAGGAGGGGGACAGAGACAGACAGCAAGATGATCTCATAAGACTCAATCATCTTTTCAAAATAAGGAAAGTAGGCTAACACACACGTTTACACATTTTCTTTCATGAACACAGTAGCTATGTTGCGTACTCTGGGTAAAACAGCCTAGGGCTGGGGCCACACGAGCGCACAAAATGCGCCCGTTGTAACGAACGTCGTGACGTCCGTTGTAGAAATATAGAAGAGAGGCGAATGGTACGCTTTTTTTTCTGGCTCCATTGCAGACAAAAAACAAAGCAGCGCATTCTGAAACTGTGTGGTGTCCTCAGCAACGCACGCCATAAAGTACGTTCGTGGCGACGGACGTACTTTGTGCGCTCGTGTGGCCGCAGCCTTATACGCCCCAGTGCTACACTCAGCACTCAGAAATCTGTAACCAGTGTCTGACCCTTGCTGTACTGACTCTGCTGCTTTACAGATCATCAAGATGCTGGTGACCATTGTGGTGCTATTTGCATTGTGCTGGCTTCCACTGCAGACCTTCCTACTGCTTTACTACTTTGTTCCCGGGTTCGACTCCTACCAGACAGATGAAGAACGAAAGGTGTACGCTCTCTCCTACTTCGCCTGCCACTGGCTCGCTAATGCCAACAGCATGGTCAATCCCTTTGTATACTGCTTCATGAGCGATAACTTCAGGGTAAGTAGCCCACACACATATATGCCAGAGGCGATGTTCCGACTTCCTATGGAGACTCTTCAATGAGAAATATTATATTACGTATATTATTGCTAGTGGGGTGGGACTAAACCCTTGTACTGCGCCCACTTCTGGCCTACGAGTATTGTACCAGCCCCAGATGATAGGTGAGGGTGATTGTGGAACAATTGGTGGAATGACGATTGGCAAGGGAAACCGAAGTACTCGGAGAGAACCTGCCCCAGCGCCACTTTGTCCACCACAAATCCCACTTGACCAAACCCGGGATCGAACCCGAGACGCCGCGGTGGGAAGCCAGCGACTAACCGCTTAAGCTATGACGCGGCCCAGAAATATAACTTAATACAAATATTTAATTTCGCGATGGCTCTCCGTACAGGAGATCTGGGGATCCCACGGTTCGCAATCAGTCTTGAAGGAGCATAACAGCGCTTCACAGGAATCTTCTGCTGTTATGTTCAGGGTGAAACTGAGAAGTTGGTGTGAATGAGTTATGCAATAGGAGTACCACGGGATGGATAGAGGAGCACAAGTAGATTGACCAATCAGAGCAGAGCCAAGGGAGGTATTCATTACACAAAGAAAATATTAATTTATAATTTTAATTTACAATTATCGAAGCTAACTTTTGAATGTTCTACAATTCCATAAGTACATGTGACAGAACTGAAAATCGAAGTTTCAATGCAATTTCATTTTAGTAAAGTGAGCTTTTAGATTTGTGAATTTTAGTGGTTGACTGACTGGTTCATTGGTTGGTGGGTCATTTTATTTTTGTGAATAGACTAGTTAACATGTTTTTAAAATGTCCACCCAAGTGCCAGACAATATGAATGTCAATTGAAAAAATAACAAAAAGAAAGCATTCGATGAAAAGAAAAATGGAGTAGGCCCACGCATATGCCGTGTAAGCAATGGAAAAATGTTTCACCACGAACAATTAACGAATGTACGAAAATGAATCCAAAGCCAAGTTAAGATTTTAACTCTGTTTGAATAGAGAAAGCGTTTCCTTCCATAACTGTTTACTATGTAAACTATTAATAAATAAGAAGTTCTGGGAAGAACTAATAGCCTACTTTCCTTTGATACGACACGGATCGCATAGATAATAAGAAAACTAATGGGTGATATTAGACGTGCAGACAGACACACAGACAGCAAGGTGATCCCATAAGCTTCGTTCTACTTTTTCGAAATAAAGAAAGTAGACTAAAGACCAAGGCGTAGTTGGGTGGACAAGATTAAAATGGATCTAGGAGAGATAGGATTGGATTGTATGGATTGGATTGATCTGGCTCAGGATAGGGACCATTGTAGGGCTCTTGTGAACATGTGAATAAACCTTCGTGTTCCATAAAATGCTGGGAAATTCTTCAGTAACTGCAGATTTGGCAGCTTCTCCAGAAGGGCTCAGTCCGTAAGTAAGTAAGAAAGACAAAAGACCAAAAAAATGCCAACGATTAATTTTCAGATCGTCTACTATAAAATTTATTTATATTTTAAGTGTTTCTTTTACACAAGGCGTTGCGCAGACGCTCAGTGGCGAGGTCGTGTCTCTTCGTTCATAGGTCCTCATATTCAATCTCCGAAACCACTGATCGCTTTTCCTTGAAATTAGGTGTGGCG